AACTTACGTTGCATATTATTAGCTTACAAAATTTTATTATTTGAAAGCAAATCACGTTTTGAAGACGACATTTTGATGACAATAATCTCCTCTCTCTAACAACATAGACACAACTCAATATTCTAGCAAGCAGATAAAAGATGTACAAAAATGTTACATAGAAGGAGAGATACATTTTGGAAGCCAAGAGACTTAAAAAAAAAAAAAAAAAAATTATAACTTAGTCGTTTTCAAAGGCAATCAATCCATGCCTAGTGCTCATATTACCAATAAGTAGTTTAATAATATCGATATAATTCGGGGAATTCAACATGCGAACTGATACGATAATTGCTTTGACTGAGAGCCTTACTGCAGGCCACCGTTGCTATTTCAAAGATTTAGTTGCGTTAGTAATTTTCGAAGGGGGAGATAAAACCAAAATTACTGAAAATTTGCAATTATTATATTAAGTAGATAGAGATTTGCTTTAGAATGCGATGGGCTTGAAATTAAACTGAACGAAAAGTTTTTACATTTGTTTATGCTAATACATTGTTATAATTTCTGCTAATTTGATTCTGTTTCAATTTCAATTTCATTCCCAAGCACATTACCATTTTTTTTTTTTTTTTTGCTTAACATTATAAAAATTTACTTTTATTTTCAATTTACGAATATACGATATATATGCAATATAGCAGCACTTAAAAATCTTTTAGATACTGTTTTATATATGCTACTGCATACGTATTTATGCATGAGAGCGTGCATATATTAATCTATCCATTTAAGTGCTGTATATTCCTTTCTTTCGTTTTTATGTATATATATTATTTTTTTTGTTTTCTATTCCACTGCAAAATTCTGGCATACATACGGTATATGCATATGTGTGTAACTTCTATATAAAATATCTGTGAATCTTATTATTCCTGGTGTATCTCAGAAAATTACAAAAAAGCTTCACCCATAAAATATATAATACAGCATGTGCACTCATATTATACACAAATATATGAATTTACTTTGTACCAGTTCATATCGTATAATATAATGTAGACTCTCTATAAGGAAAAGAATTTATTGTCGGTGCCTTTGCTTATGCAACGAAATTATTGTATTATATTCCAAAAATGTATGCTGTAGAAAACTAAACCAATTTAAATGATGGATTATTTGATTTGATAAGTAAGTAAGCATTTAGGAAATTAATTGTTTTTGTTTGCTATTCTGTAACTTAGTCGTCTTCAGGCGGTTTATTATTTACTTATATTTCAATTATTCTTCAATTACTTTTGTGGATCATATTCGTTTGTTTGCTTATGTTGCTATTATAATAGCAATCTAAAAAAAAAAAAAAAAAAAATACTCTTTCTATTTTGTCTATTTTACTTCTATACATGCAGCCTATCATTACTTAGATATTATATGCAAGTTTCAATTGTTGAGGGTACGTATAATACGCTGATAGTGAGACAATGATCATTTCAATCTGCAATTTCAACTTAATTACAAATTATTTTTTCGAGATATTATGTTGTGTTTTCCTTTCCTTTTTTTATACTCTAGCAAAATTCTTGAAATTCTACATTAGAATAATCGATAGAATGAATAGTTGGATGCTTGTAGATAAGCCTTCATTTCAAATTTGATGTATTGGACTTTTAGATAGCCAGGAAGATATTGCTGCTGCTGTTTATATATATCAAGGAGTCTTTTTCATCTTACGAAACATTTTGTACTTCCACTTTTCGCAGAGTCATTTTCCACACAGTTGTAAATTGACTTGAGATTAGAGTCATAAATATAGGAGAAGCGTTTCCTCATGAAACTTCAGATCGGTGAAGTAGAGCAAGGGACAGTTCTGGTTGAAACGCGATGAAACCTAAAATAATTAACACCATTAGTCTGAGTCATACAGATACTATTTAATTTCTCATTTTCTTTTGATTATTTTGTTTCGTCATCCATTTACTCTTGGATATTTCGACTAATGACATCAGAATTGGCGTTTGGGATTCCAGTTTCATAACCGAACTTACCCGCCAATACTTTCTCTATGTGACGTAAATTCGATGAGGAGCAGCAGATAACGTATTGAACAAATTGTAATCTTTTTTAAGGCCACTAGTTTCATCACTTTCCTTCATGGTGATTGTTTAGATAAGACTGAATAAAGAGACAAAAATTCACCGAGCGCATACTCTCCACTCAAAATTTGAATCGCTATTTAACCATAATTGCTCATAATTCATATGAGTACTAGAGATGATTCAAAGGCTGGTGAAACGATTTAATCATATATATGTCTTCCCGTCTGCAAAACCGTTTGTCTATACATTTTTCAAGCTGTCGTTGATCACTACACGATATTTGGTTTTGTAGGTAGGAAATGTTCACTTTTCAGTATTGCCGCTTCAAATAATAGTTTGTTGACGCAGAGGCAGGTGAGCATCTCTAAGCCGATACAGCGCCTGATAGCATTCAAAAATAATAATTCCATTTAAATCGCGTAAGACTATTCAAGCAGAAGGTTTTTTTTGCGCTTATGTCAGCAGCAAATAATTTCACTGATATCTATGACAAAATTTATGCCAATATCTGCGAAAATGATAATGATATGTCCACTTATTCACTTTTATCTAAAAAGTGAACTGCTTCTCTGACCTTTCTCTGTGCAGTCAATTTAGAACAAGTATGCCAAACGATATAACGAGGTGATGGTCGCCTGGTCCGATATCTCTCAGTACTATTTGATACACACCCACGTGTCAAGATTTCGCGCACAACGCGTCACAAACCAGTCACCAAGTTTCTCACACTTTAGGATTGACTCCCAATTGATTATTTCAATTCAAATGGCATTACTTTGACTTTCATCAATCGTTGGTATATCATATTAAAAAGAAAATGTATATGCTGATTTGAATTTTATAATAATCGAAAATTGCACCTAAGGAACGGATGCTTTTCACGATAGAGCGCGGATTTCAGGATCTAGAAAAACTAAAGTAACTGTTATGATATAACTTAAAAAAAAACCGAAGAAAATGGAAAAGCTTTAAACATAAGTTTTTAAAGTATTTATGACCACTAAAATGACAAAACTGATAAACGAACATCTTTTGATGTTGAAAATTCAAGTTCGCACAGAGGCATACCCTTCTTGAATATAAAATTAAAAGCAGTCAACAGCAGAATCTACAAATCTTTTGACATACAGACACTCACATGAAAATGAACATGGTCCTCAAAGTATATTCAGACGACGATAACTTGGAAGCAATAATTTGTAACTTTGGTTACCCTAGATGTACGTATGTTGATGGTCTTCAAATAGGTGCCTTTTCTTGCCTACGAATTTATAATAAAAATTCAACATGAATTTTTTTTATTTTGATATTGATTCATGCCATTTGTATTTAAAAATGATTTCACGCGAACGACCAACTGTGGATTCTTGTAAAAAATTCAATCGCCGAATACCGATTTTTGCTGCTTTTTCTCATAAAAGTACTCCTATTTCACAGATAATCTTGATTAATGAAGTCATTGAGAGTTCATGCTTTATTAGAGAAACCCCAAAGCAAAACGTTCAGCAGAGCTATATATTGCATAATCTTTGCGACATCCCCACATATAGACAGAAGGAGATTACATGGTCGTTGACCTTTTCCCATAAAAAATTGATGGTACCACGAGTTGTATGGCATATTGCATCATTTTGTTGAAGCCACATAACGTCCCAGTCGAAAGCACCTAATTCTTGTTCTCAAAAGTCAGCAATCATGTTCCTGTAGCATTCTGCGTTACACTGCAATGTCATTCTTATGTTAAAAAATTACGTTTTCGGTCCGCAAATAACTGTCAAAAGTTATTTTTGTACGCAGAAAAATGCTTTGGGAACATCATGTGTGTTCTCTTTTGATGCAAAAAAGGTACTAATCTTTATTTATAAAGTCATTTGATCAAAACATAATCGTGGGTCCATTGCTTTCATTATAAGTTTTAAACAATCCTTCACGCTGCCCAATTATGTATGTATCATATTGCGCAAATAATTGCAAGATCGAAGCAATATATTGCAAAGAAATATGATTCATATCTCAATCAGAGATGTGTTTTAACCACAAAATGTGTAACTACAGCCAAAAAAGGAAACTCTGAAAGCGAAACTCTGTTCATAACAGTCATCTGTACATAAAGACACAATGATATAACTATTCATTGTGGTCAACATTCATGTACATATAGTCTATGGAATCATCGATGCATATTGTTATGGTATAAAAGGACCCCACGAACTGAATATAAACACTATAATGAATATAAAAATTTGGTTAAAATTTACATTCATTTTAACCGTATTCATGCCTTTCATTTTATAATACTTGCGGAAATATTGTCTGACATATTCACAGTTCTTTTGAAGTTTCCAGATTTGTATAAACTATTTTGAAGTCTTTGTATACTTTTTTTTAAACTACGAGCTGATAGCCTGCGGTGCTAGTGCTAAATGTTTTTTTTGTTTTTACTCTAAGAATTTATTTCATTAGTCTAAAAATTATAAAAGTAATAATTCGATGTTACCCGTATTTTCATATGAATTTTGGTTTTCCTTTCAAAAAAAAAAAGGTTTAATATTATGGTGCACAAATGAACATCTAACGCTTTTCTTTTTTGCAGAAAAGTGCTTATCACAAAACATTAGCTAAAAGTTGGCAATGCTTTCTCTACTTTGCCTTTTTGGACACAAAGTTTAACATATTCGAAGATATTACACTGTTTTGCAAACCTAGAAAAAATAACTTAATATGGAAGTGTCCCGGTTGAACGGACGCTTACCGGCAGCGTAACGCCGTCTCCTAAAAAATTCGATAAACGCCAATTTGTGGATTTGGCATTAACTCATTTGGTTGACATCTAACTTATGTCCTCTCCTCTCACGGTAAGAAACTCATCTGTTGGTTTTTGGCACATATTTTAATTTTATTTATATTTATTGGTAACTTACCTACATTTTTATTTATTTATCATCTAACTCCGTGACTGATTTTCTTTATCATATTTAAAAAAAATTCTATTAACATTATTCTTTAAAAGAGAACCAAAAAGGTATAATACTTTGTGTAGATAGAAGATATAAAAGGATAACAATACCTCTACTTTTCAGCGATTAACATTAAAATTTTATTCATTAGTTCATTGGCTACAGTCTCATTTAATGTGTTCAGCCGTGCTGCTAAGAATTCTCCGAATTTAGTGTACAAGACCTCTCGTGCCGTAGGCCTTTGCAAAGCATATGGGGAGGGTAATGTTTTTTTAGGGTTCGGTTCGCCAATAGCGCCAACGGTGGTATTTCCACGCGTTTCTTTGACTAAGCTTACCAAAGAAGTGGCTATCGATAAACGATCATCGAGCATATCAACATCAGGATCGTCATCTAAATCACTGCCGTCGGCCTGTTCATCAATGACTAGATTTTGATTGGAGTTATGAAGGTTCTTGTTATTAATGTTATTCAAATTTGCGTGATTGGGCTTATCTTTAGTGGTATTACGGCCGATAGACAGCGTTTTTCGATTATTTGTCACTTTTGACTGAGATAAGGTATCAACAGAAATCGTGTCGTCTAACGAGTCTACTTCTTCTTTAATGTAAATTGAAGGTGACGATGAACAAGAGCGTGTTATAAGAGAGCGGGCTCTCGATAAAGGCCTTATTGCGTTTGCCCCATTACTGTTGGCGGTGAATTTTTGTAGAGCTGCTAAAGCCGTGGCATTTAAATTAAGCAGCATTTCCGACTGTAATTGTATAGGCGTCTGAGGTGTAACCGGAGTATTTGGGGGATTGACAGGAGTTACAAGAGCTGCTTGACAAATACTCGGAGTTGTTTGCTGAGGGATCGTTAAACTTAATGCGGGAACTGATTGTTGTTGTGGTTGTTGTGGTTGTTTAGGTTGATTTTGTGGATTGTTAGGATCATTGGGAGCAAAATATTGATACTCATCGATGCCATTACTATTGTTAGAGACATTTTGTACGGTGTGTGACGGGACGTCACCTGATTTGGCACGTTCTCGGGACCTTTGAAAAAAATAGATCAAATGTAATGATTTTTTCCTTCATGTCTTACATATAGAAAAAACACTCACTTCCTCTCACGTATCACTTCTTTAAGAAAAGCCATTTCCTCATAGTATTCCCATTTGGACTTGAAACGTGATCCCAACATTTTCTCATGATTTAGTTCGCGACGAAATATTTCTCTTAATGAGGTGAACGTACGCTGCACCCGCTCACCGTTAACATTAAAGATTCGGCCCAATTCATTCCACTTTAAAGCCTTTTTCTTATCCGAACGTTTATAGTGAGGTAAACGGCAATCCCATAGAATAGGATTTAAACGCACCATTTCGATTAAACGTCTCTTTTCGATATTATGACGCGCAAAAGCCATACTTAATTATTTCTTAAGCTTGTGAAATATCCGAAAAGAACAAACCGTTTAATTCGATTTCTCTTCAACTAAGAAACTTCTCTTTTTATCTTTATATGCATTTATATATTAAGTTGGCTTAAATACAGCTCTCATTTGGCTAAAAACATATTATCTTTGTATTTGTACAATTTTATTGCCTTCGCTTATGCTTTTGCTTTTGTTTTTTATTTTGCTTTTGCACATAGACGTTAAGTTGCTGTGCTGTCTACTGCCAAGTGTAATTGTTGGCGTTGGCAGCTGGCACACATTACCAATACCAATTTTGTTTAGCAATATGGCGCATGTCCGTTGCCGCTGTTGGTACTTGCATTCATGTGTAGGTATAACAAAACTTTATTGCTTTTCTCACACTAAACGGATGCTGGGCCTCACGTTTATTAACGTGTGTAGGGGAGATGTTTTTCTTGCAAATTTTGTTAGTATACCTGAAATAATTTTATAAAAATAAATAAGAGAAACAATAATTTTGCGATATCTTATGCAGTTTTATGCAAGTTAGGACTTAACAGAAGGCAGAAGGATTTAATAAACATCAAATAATTTATTAAAATTCTTCTAAAGTGTTTGCTAAAAAAATAAATGAATGCAAACAAAGTGATAAAATATTTTCATAAGCGTTTTAAGTTATTATCAGAAAATATTCAACACACAAACCTTTTAAGTGCTTACCATAACAAATATTTGAAAAGAAACAAGAATAGTTCAAAAATAATTTGGTATATAAAGTGGTATCAAATATGAAATGGATTTTTTGTCGGATTATATTCAGTTTACAAATAACGACTATTTCGTGTTGGCTTCTATTCCGCTGAGGGCGTATTCCCGGCAAAACATCAAAAATTTTAAAAAACTTTTTTTAAGAATTTTTGCTTTTTTTTTTAAACATTCCTGAAAGAGTCATATCTACGCATTTCGCAATCCGTGTATAATACTGTGTCAAAACACTCAAACGAATTTACGCTACCAACTGAAAAGCTGATCTGCAACACCTATATCCGTCTGTTAAAAAGAAACCACTAAACGCAAAAAGATAAACATAAAGCTAAAATATAACGCCCATACTCTTAATTGAGCTTAAATGCGTACATAAACATGTCCACAGAAATAAAAATATCAGAAAAAAAAAAATTAAAAATTTTAAAATATTGCTTTTATAGCACGCGATTCATATCTGAATCAGTCTCTTGTTGAGTTGACAGCTAATAGAATAACGTTCATCTTATATAATCTATAGCTTTGCTAATTTTATAGTAAATTTTCGTTAATCATTTGTTTTTTACAAAGAAATAAAAACAAACATTTAACAAACGTTTTTTTTTGAAAAGTTGTTATAAATAGCTTTTATTTATTATTTTCTTAACGCAATTATTGTAAATTTTTGGTGGAATTTTTTTTATTTTGTTTTTTTTTTTTTAATTTCATTATATTGTGAATATTTGTAAATAAACCGAAAATATAAGTGCGCGTCAGATGCATTGGTTATACGTACACTATAGAAGGGTAACCCCATGAATAAGCTAATATTTTACTACCAATAAAAACAAAACATTTTCTTTGTCATATGTAAAATGATTTCAGCTTTTAAGTAAGTAATAAGAAGAGAAGCTACAACAACAATTAAAAGTCATACCAATCGCGAATTCACACATACAGAGACCAACGTGCAGTGAGCTACTGAGTGAACATGTTTCGTGTAAACAACAAGAAAATCACAAAAATCATAATGAATGAATGAACGCGGGGGAATTGATATTCTCTTGCATAGCTACTAGCGAACTATAAACAATTCTTTAGTTTAATTTTCCGTTGTTATTGCTATTGTTATTGCTGTTTCCTTTCTTTATTTTTATTATTATTTTTTTTTGTTGTTGTTGTTGTTGTTTTCATTCTTCTGTACCAAAAGAATTCATATAATATGTAAGCAACGAGCGAACTTGAGAGTGAATACAAGTCCATCGACATTTACGTTATTGGTTGGTTGATTGTTTAAGTGTGGTTGAACCAATTATATGAATAAAGTGTATCAACTGCATGCGTGTGTGAAGTGTTACGTATATGCGATGTCTTGTGTCTTTCGGTATTTTTATGTATCGTTTATTAACAACAATAAAATTCAATTTATTTCAATTAACAAAACAACCAAATTGACCAACACTACACTACCGGGGGTACTATGTTTAAACATGCTGACAATGCAAATATACACATACATAGACAACGTTTTATTATAGTAATTTTTTAATAAAAAGCCACTACATAAAATAAACTTTGTCACCAATTTTTTTCCCCATACTGAGATTTAAATATGAATGTTTTTTTTTTTTTTTTAAATACCGTAAATTCCTTTACTAAATGGACACAATTACAATATCCATCATTTCACTACTGTTACACCATCCATGGAAAGTATTTAAAAGACTTTTTTTTCAAAGAATTTTTTGATATATATTTTTACTCACTTAACAATAGTTTGATGCAAGAAGATTTGTAGAAAAATTCTTAGCAAAATTTTTATTTTCTATCATCACCACCACCAACAACTACAATAACAACTAAACAACTACTAACTCTCGTTAAGTCAAAAACACATAGTTTTGAAGACTATACACTTTATATCGCGGAAAACATATACAATGACAAGAATAAAACCAAAAATTTTGTTTTTGCTTTTTCACAATGCTGGGATGCTGTACTGTGTTTTTGCTTTGCGTACTGATTGTTATGTACATTTACAAACAATCGTGTGTTTTGCAAATAATACGAATTTTTATGCTCTTATTCTCTTCTCAACAACAAAGTTGCAACTCTTCCCTCTTTTTAACATTTTACTCTTAAAAATTACCGTTAATATTATATTATAGAACGAGTACTGATATAGCTGTAAGTTGGGTGTTTTTGTAGGTTATTATAGATATGGTAGATGTTATATTCCGTTTACGTTAATGTTCTCTTCTATTGTTTTACTACATTTCTATTTGAAATTGGTAGGTGCGATATTATGCAAAGAGAGTATTTGCGAGGAAATGTAAAGAGCGACAGATAGAAAGAAAGAGAGAGAGAGAGAGAGAGGGAGAGAGAAAGAAAGTGAGAGAGAGAGGAATTCTTTATTATTGCTGTTTTTAAGACTTTTTTTGTTTTTTTTTTTTTGTTTGTTCTAATTCATATTAATCAAGCATACACACACCCACGCATACGACAACATCGGACAAAACAATAAAGATAATGACGATTGGTTGTTATGTGAATATAAAGCAGAGTTGTTTATACATACAAAAAAGAAGAAAATAACACAAAATGATAACTATAAATATTTAAAAAAAATTATATGATAATAAATAATTTAAATTAATTAAAGTTTAATGAATAAAAAACATTTTATTTTCTAACCGCAAAGCAGCATTGTCAATATACCGACTTCGGAACTTTATACGTACTTAAGTAGAGTTAAAGTGCAGCTTATGTTGCATTTATTTTCTTTTTGTAAAGAGTTAAAGCCTAGATGATTACAAGAGACTCAATGAACACAAAATTATAGAAAACAAAATTGTTTAAGTAATATTTTACGTTTATTGTCTCGTTGCCATTCTTCATAAACTAATATTAATCCATAAATGCATACGGTTGCCAATTGTATACATTCCAGTTCCACTCAACTTTCTCCAAGATATTTGCACTTGCATGTGCATTTTCGAAAGCAAATTGATAAACATAGATAATAAATCATGTGCGAAAGAAAAAAATTGACATTGCTTTTGGCGGTTAAGTAATGTCTTTTTTTTGACATTTGAATATGGTGGCTGATAATGTGTTACTTGAAGTGATATTTCTTATTTTCGAGGAGTGATTTATCTAATTGAAAAAAAATTACTTCTTATCTGTTGTCATATAAGGTACCAATGTTTGATGTTGCATTTGAAAATTTTATTGAATATATGCCAAATTTTGGGAAATACTCTCCAATACTATGCCCAAATGAGTACAATATGCGATTGTCGCTTAAGTGATTTTATGAAATTTCCACACTTGATGATTTGAATTTTTATGAAAACTAGACTCGTTTTTTAAGAAACGAATTCCAAAGAAAGGTAAACTCAAATACACATTCATTACGTTTTACCTGCCTTGGAAATGGAAATATTTCTGAAGACGGAGTGGGTGTGGATGACCTAAACAAAATTGATCAAGACCCAGACGTGCAAGATGTAATAAACCCATTAAAGGACAATAATGATGAGGACAAGACAGTGAAGAGCCTTTCTTAGGTATTCTTGGGGTTGCAGCTTGGCGGCAACGTTGTGTAGTTGCACTTGAAACTCTATTCCAATTTTTTTCCAAATTTATTCATTGTCTAGGTACCTTCACGTTTATGTCCGTATATCAATTCTCAAATGTTAGATCCTACTGGGGTAAATATGGCTTCGACTATATACTACAGACGATGACGATAAATAGATTTGAGAAAATAAGATCCGTAATTCATTTCAATGATAATGTATAACACAAGCCTATTGCACACGTAACCCACGACCGTCTCCATAAAATAACACCTCTTGTGATAGATCTGAATAAATTGTTTGTTAGTGTGGCGCCATTTGATCAGAAGCTCTCTCTATATGAGTAAATGTGTTCCACTAAGGTAGCACATTTTGTGAGCTTTGTTTTGTGTTTACGACCTGGATATGCCTTTAACATCTTTTTGGGAAGGATAGGATTACAATGAAAAGTCGCACATGGTATATTAGATTGTTTTATCACATGATTGATATGGCAATAATCTTTTCGTGGATATTGTTTGAAGAAACAAACAAAACCTTACATTAGATGATTAAGACTCAGTAATCTGGAAAGTGAGACAGAATCTAAAAAACACAGAGATCCCACGAAACCTGTCCCGCCGAAATATATGCGGAGCAATGGTAGAAGCCGTGATGAAAAACAGATGAAGTTTTACCAATAAATGTGAAATCAAATGCAAGTTTGTTTTGTGTCGCAACAACGATCGCAATTGCTTTCCTGTATTTCATTCATATATAATATGAAAAATCTTATTAAATAATGCAAATGCATCATCAGTTGTTTATTTCTACAATAATTTTAGTAACGAAAGCATATTACTGCCAAAAGTCTGCTTGCCACTTTTTTCAAAATAAATACTCAGTTTTATTATCTATAAATTTTATTTTTATACCCAAAAATGTAAGATGAGGGAGGGTATACTCATTTCGTTTTTTTTCAAAATATATTTAACACGCAAAACGAAGCTTTAGAGACCCTATAAAGCATACATATTCTGGATCAGCGTAAAATTCTGAGTTGATTTAGCCATGTCCGTCTGCTTGTTTAAATTTGCTAGAAACATTGGAAGTTTCTGCACGTCGGCTTTTTTTAACAAAAATTTTTGGATATTTGCTATTCGAAATTTTTCAATATTTACTTTACGAAAATCTCTGCTGTGTATGCGGCCACGCCCACACAAATTTACAAGTGATTAAGTTCTGTTTTATTTACTTTTTTTAGGCTTTATGCTTATTTATCATAAGGCAAACAAGACCGAATATTTACAATCATTTTGTACACTCCTTAAATAAAGATATATTATCTGCCTAAAAATGGGTTACTTCCAAAATGAATATGATAGACACCGCGGTCACCTTTTTCTTAATAATACTAGCGATGTGGGTATCAAATAAAAGAACTTGGAGAGTGGAATGCGAAAAACATAATAATGGCTATGTAAGATTCGGCTTCCGCCAAATACAACTTTCTTGCTTGTTGAGATTGTTTTTTACGTAACCTATGACTATATTCTTATAAAAACCAATTTTTTTAAACTGAACACAAAAAAATCATGCATTTAAGCGGTAATTAGCATTGATGATTAACTCGTTTTCTATTAAACTGAATATACGCAATAGAACGCAATTGACAACATTAGTCGAGGAAACATGATAATTTATGAATTATGCATGCATATATATTACATGCAAGCACATATTGTTAACACTGTAGCTACCCAAGATTGTTAAATGAAAACAATAAATATTTTATTAAGAAAACGCCGCCATTTAATCCAATTTTCCGCATAACGTTCGTAGACCGATAAAGTGTAATTTGCAGATCATCATAACATTAGCTATGGAAGCGAGAAAAAGCAAAACAAAACCATTTGAAATGAATGTAGTACATTTTTGCATCCTTACGTAAATATAAATAAGCGCTTAGCTTTCATTCGATGCACGACAGTTTATATGCTTGACACAAATGATAGTCAAAGAAACGCTGGGTACAATTGCAAGAATTTCGCATTAAAGTTGTGGTTAGATTTCGATCTTTCGATGAAAACATTCGAAAAATAAAATCTTGCGTATGTCTTAACCTATAACCATAAGCTGCGAAGCAAATATAAATCGCGGTAGCAAATAGTACAAGAAAGGACCACAATGTCCAAAATCGCTTATAATAGTTAATAAATTTGGTAGTAGCATTGTACTAAGTAGAATGCTTGTCGTCTAAACCATAATTTTTCAACTTCTTTCGTTCTGATTTAATTTATATTTTATTATTTTTAAACATTTTATGTACAAAGTACATTTATATAATATGAAGGAAAAACTAATAAAGTTTGAACTTTGTTTGTTCAGTACGAAAATTTCCTCTTTCACAATGAATTAAGTTATTTACTTAAGATTTTCATAGTTAATGTGAAAATGTATATAAAATTGATTGTAAACTTAGTTGCACTCATATTTCAAAGATACATAATAAAAAATATATTTTTTTTTTTATTGGAGACATCGTCTGAGGCTTTTTAAACTATAAAAAGTCTCGATCAATGAGTCATTTTGAGACAATCTGAACATGTTTATCTTTCTTCTCTTCCCGGTAATCTTATCGTTTCTTACGTATTAAGATACGAGGTAAAAACTCTTGATATTGTTTATTAACATACTGTACCTTAAAGTCTGATACATCCCTAAACTTAATATTCATAATAAATACTAAATTAAAACGCGTTCAAAGGAATTGCTCTCTAAAATTCTGTAAAATTATCTGTGTCTGTGAAAGCTTTACTCTAATCGAAACACCAGCAAATTCATAAAAAAAGTAAGCGAAGTTTTTAAATTTTCATCTTTAGTGATGGGTATGCAAGATTCGAGCCAATACGCAAAATATGGACATTTTTCTCTTTCATATTTAAAACGTAGTATTGGCCACAAATATTTTAATGGAAAAAACTTTTTAGCATATTGACTGAGTAGGCAGAAATGAAAAACAGTTGAAGAGTTAGCAAACAAATGCTGAGGAAACAAAATAAATCCTTTAAAAAACGTTAGTCATTGAAATTTCAACAGAAAACTTTTACTATCAAGAGTTGTGCACACATCCATATATATATATATATAAAAAACAAATGATCGTAATAAACCAAATTATACTTATTTAAGGCAACAAAATTTGAGGTCTGACGAACTTAAGTAATATGACAAAAGAGATGAAATTTAGCTTTAGGTAAATAGCAAAGAAAAAGCGATAAAGAAAATAGAATAAAAAGCGAAGGAAGCACATCTGCTCCTATATCAATAACATATCACTCAATAAGTCGCCAGTCTGATGGTTTAC